AATAACTTTATACCAAAGCGTTCCTCTTGCTTGGTAAAATACTGCTTGAATGAGAGTCTTCCTTTGAACAAAATCAAAGACTCGTAAATAACAAGCTTCCTGAAGGGATAAAAATACAAACAGCACTTTTGTTCAGGACAAAAACACAAGTCTGATCTTATATAACCTGTCGCTTCTGTCAGGCCTGGTTTTGTCTGAAAAGTGTAACATACGTAACAGTAACACAAATCTATTCACGGGTATAATGTCACTAAAAGCAGGGGTTAAATCAGGCGGTCTGTCGCCCAGTATGTGTTGACACAAATCTTATACACATGTGGCATAAGCATTATTGTGGCAAAGAACAGATACATCTCTGCCACAGTTGTGTCCTTCCACTGGTGTAGGCGTGATCTTGGTGCCCAGAATAGTTTTGCCAGGTGTACTCATAGTAAGAATTGCTTTCCCTGACAATAATGTCCATCAGGGTTGATCGAAAAACAACTGAAAGCATTCCAGTTCAGTGGGATTGTTCCCAAGTGTACATGATGGCCATATTCCATTTTGTCCTCCATCAAAGTCTTTGGGGATTGGGAACAAACCCCGTCATCTTGGTGCCAATCCCAGATGCCGGTCAGCTGTGCATTCTAAAATATTGTAATGTGGTTGTGGTTGTGCAGGTTGGGGTTGTGGTTGTGGAGTGTGGGGTCGGGTGAGGGTTGTAGTTGTGCAGAGTCAGCAGCGCGGGTAGTAGCGGGGCCTGCTGCTGGTGTTACATGACTCATGCCACCATCACTATCACCAAACCCCCGCCTGCTGTCTCACTTGCATCATTGATACCCATCGTAACAATATCTCATCTTCACTATTTAGGATGTGGCTAGGCCACGGGATGTGCTCCGAGATGTACTCCTTCCTCTTGGAAGAGCATATGGCACACTACCAACCGCATGCGACGTAGTATATACTGCCGCTTCACTGGGGAATATTCACCCTCAACTGTCACAATTAGAAAATGCTTTCAATAACCTTGAAAATCAAATATCACTATCACTTGCACTGCTCACATCTGAGTCTTGTACACGGGGAAATAGTTTCCTCTTTCGTCCTGGTACAGGTGAACACGAACGAGTCCGGCCCAGCACCAGAGGTGGGGGGTTGTGGGTCATCTGGGTTTTCATCACTAATTTTTTATCCTGGGGAATTTTTTCGGTCACACCCCCCTTCAAACCAGGGAATTCACTTCACTGACACTATCATCACTGTTTGAGCTATCACTTGGGAACAAAAGACCTCCAATCCGCCGAGGAGTGAGGAACTTCTACTGCGAGGCATGGTGAAAATGGACTACCAAGATGGCGTTCCCACAATGCACCCGCTGAGTCCCAGATTATTTTCACAGGGTGCACACCGACCACTGAGACCCATCTCTCTCGTGTAGGCCTACCACCCTCTCCAGCTTGATTTGAAGCCGCTAGAATTTATGCGTAAAAGATACGTCAAACACGGTATCTCCCATGACGTATATGTACGACTGCGACAGTCAAAGGATTAAATGTTTATACAGTAGTGTACTGTACGTATATTGTAATAAAAAGAACAGAGGAAATCAGCTCTTATATACATTATTTAGGTATGCATACTGGTCAGAGAGCCCATCATAAGTCCAAGTTGTCGGTAAACAAGTACAGTGGACCCCGCTAACGATCCCTCCAAATGCGACCAAATTTAAATGTAAGTGTATTATGTAAGTGCGGTTGTAGGGTTTTATGTTTGGGGTCTGAAATGGACTAACTACTCACAATATTCCTTATGGGAAAAAAATTCGGGTTTAGTACTGGCACCTGAACATACTACTGGAATGAAAAAAGTTCGTTAAAACCGGGGTCCACTGTACAAACGCTGAGTGAAGAGAGGGGTTTTTAATTTTTTGGAATAAATATGTTCATGATGAAACATCAACATTAAGGAATCTGAAGTAGAGGAAATAAATGAGGTTCAGGTTCTAGATCTGCCCGTAGATAATAAATTAAAATTCCCAAAGTTCATATCCATCTCAGGTTAAAAAAAAAAAAAAAAAGTAAAAGAACTGTAAGTATACCTCCAAAATTTGCTATTATGTTTTCCAGTCTATACTTTAAGCACAAGGGAGTACTTCTTTCTCTTATTTACCCAAAAACTCCATATGTACCTATGCAGTTTAGTCTGGAGTTTTATCTCAACATCCCACAATCAAACTAATTTATCAAAATAACAAAACACAGATATCAAACCACCACTACTAAAATTTTAGGAAACACTATCCTCCCTATTCAAATCCCTAAAACCTGCTAAATGTTAGTGCCATACATACTTACCTGGCAGCCATTCACACCTCCTCTTCAAAACACTACATACATCATAATGGAAAGCTGAAGCAAACAAACAGGCATCATGAATCTCTATGGAAAGTCAATGAAAAATAAAAATTTAAAATATGTGGAATACTTGCCAGATGATTTAAAAAACTTGGTAACTTAGGAAATTCAAGTAAAAACTTCAAAAGATTGTCCCCCATTTTTTTTTAATGTGCAGTAGTTCCTTAAATTGTCATTATACTTTTACTTTCCAGTTATAAATACACCTTGTTCCTTAAATTTTTTTTAAATGTAATCACTTCAACCATTATTGTATAATTACTTCCTCTTTTACATATGTACATATTTACTTTTGTGATTTTGTATTTCAATTTAACATAATTTTTTTAATAGCTTTCTCTTATTATGTTTTTGTTAGTTTCCCGAATTTGTAAATTACTATAATGCACTAATTAATTGCATATATTTATTTTAATATACAGTTTGTGGGGTAAACAACATCACTTCTGATTTTGCTTTTGGACAGACTTGAGTGGACGTATTGCACAAAAACAAGATTGTGTGATGAAACAACTCATCCCTGTATGGGAAGACTAGTGAACATGGAAACTGAGAGAGATAAAACTACTGTTACAGCTATGGGTTCTCAACCTGAGTGCCACAAGGCACACACAACTTCAAAGTATGCTCAGCTTGTACATCATGAATCTAGCAGTTGCAGTCAGAACCTCGAATCTAGAACTGAAGCTGTGTGTTGTGAAATTGGAGGTGTTTCAGGTAATCCTCACTCCAAACTTAAATGCAGCCACTGCAGTGTTAAATTGAAATCTAGTACTGAACTGCCATTGTTTGCAAAGTCGAAGCCCATCTACAGTGAAAATGTGGAAACAGACATGACATTAGATTCTCTATCACTGGGAGCACAATCTTTCAGTTGTAGTGACCCAACAGAATCTTGTGATCCGTCAGATACTGAGGCTCGCAACAGCACCAGCTGTGCGGAAGACAATGAGGTATGTTATGAGTGATTCTTAAGAAAAAAAAAAAAGATTATCAGTTTAATCAGCAAAAGTCTTATGGTGCAATTGGTATTTATTTTTACAGTGTGTAGTTTTATTAAAGGGTCCCTATATTTCCTCTAATTTTTAAGGAAAATCTTGATAATGCCTTTTATGTATTGATATTAAAGCTAAAATATTCCTAATGGGTCATAAAATTCAATTCAATTAAAACAAAGCAGTGTTAGCCTCTTAAAATAATAGGAACTATTTTTGGGGGGAGGATGATCTTCATTACATAAATATTTGATTTTCTTAATAAAAAATCTGTTACCGACTGCGTAATAAAATTATTGCATTACACATTATATGTACAATGGTGGGTGCCATATCCTAAAGAGGGCAAGTGGACCGTAAAAAAAAAAATCTGGATAATATAAAATTTTTCATTTCTTTTGGAAAAATAAGTTTTTATAAATGAGACTGATAAAACACAACAGTCATGCACTGCATAATAATGTTTTGGTCAGCGACAGACCACATACACAATGGTGGTGTAAAACAAACCTACTGTGCTGCCTGTCGTATAAAATTATAGTACTATCGTACGTAGGGCCCCACTTATATGGCAGGTTAGGTTCCAGACTACTGCCGAAAGCAAACATTGCCGGAAAGCAGAACGCCATTTTTTCCACTTATAAAATGCATATAAATGCCAGGTAACAATTTTACACTAACATATATTAAGTGGGCAATAGAGCTAGGCATTAAAAACAATAAAAAGTAAAGTGTACACACAGTACACCCATTAATTAACCTTAAAATATTTGTAGTCTTAATATAGGGTGAGGGTGAGTTTAATTTGTAGGAAGTCAGGTTTGGGAGGTATGGTAGCCAGCCAGGGAAGCCCTCCCCACCCCTTACACACATAATGTAAACAAACCAGATGAACACATCTGGTTTTCCTCACTTTACATTGTGCAAAAGTTGTCTCCACATTGATACAGTAGAATAAATAAAGAGGAACACTCCCATTCTCATGTAACACAATTTTTAGAAGAAATGACACATACGTACAATTATCAGTTATAATAATAATGTAGGTATGTAGTCCATCTGGGCTACATACCTACACCTACCTACATAGCTATACGATATTTAATGTGGCCCAGAGCCATATTATTACCATCGACATACCATATGCGCTGAGGTTAATCGTTTCTAACAACTAGCTTTAGATGCCATCATAAACAAAGGGAGAAGTAATGAATAATTCATGCTGAGAATTGTAAACAAGAGTGTTATGTATTAAGGGGAGTGACATAATGTATTCTTACGCCCGGCTACCACACCTCCATAATATATAAACATAAAATGTTTATATGCAACATGTTTCTTATATAATTTTGGATTAATGAAAATGTTTATACAGTGGACCCCCAGTTTACGATCAGCTCCCAATGCGAATAATTATGTAAGTGTATTTATGTAAGTGCGTTTGTACGTGTATGTTTGGGGGTCTGAAATGGACTAATCTAATTCACAATATTCCTTATGGGAACAAATTCGTTAAGTAATGGCACCTGAACATACTTCTGGAATGAAATAATATCGTAAGCCGGGGGTCCACTGTATTGACGTAAAATAGAACATTTAAAGTACCCAAGAGTGATTATTATTAGTATTACGTAATGTTTTCCCTCCACCTGGCAGCCACCTCCATAGCATATAAACATTTTTATATGCTTTGTAATGTTTCTTATATAATTTTGAAGAAAATATCATAGATGGATTAATGAAAATGTCTATATTGATGTAAAATTAGACATTTAATGTGCCCAAGAGTGATTATTATTATTACATAATAGAGAGATGTGCTCATGGAGAATGTAAACAAACCGAGTGGCACGCGCCGTATTTGAACGACCGCTTACCATGTAGAAAGTTTTGGTCATAATATGAGATCGCCATATTAGCAGAACGCCGTAAGGTGAAATGCCGAAAAGTGGGGCCCTACTGTACATACAATTATGTACGGTGTACTGTATAATACATATTTGATAATCATAATAAACAATATGTTGCTGGTTTATGTATTTATGTACCATACTTTTTATCATTATTCTAGAATGTACAGTGAGTGCTCAATGTCGTTTTGTTCAATGTCATTTTGTTATAATGAGAAAAAAAATCAGTTCCCGCTTGGATCCAGTGTCTTGGAGTTTACACATTCTCCCTATGTCGCATGGGTTTTCTCTGGGTACTCCATTTCTCCCATATCCCAAAGATGTGTGTCTGTCTAAAGTTGTCCCATTATGAGTGAGTGTGGTATGTGTGAGTGCACCCTGTGATGGAATGGTGTCCTGTTCATAGTTGGTTCCCACCTTCGCCTTGAGGTGCCAGATAGGCCTCCTGCCATTTGTGACCATGAACTGGAATAAGCGGGTTGGAAACTGAACGAATGAATACAAGTTATTGTAAAAATAAAAATTCATAAAGTACACGGTTATCAAACAAATGCATGACAATAAATGACGAGGTACGAAAATGCTCATCTAGCATGCCATATTTGTTATTGCTTTTGAACAGCATGGTGGTAGGAGGTGCTCCTTACAATTTTTGCTTTGCAAACATTTATTCCTTGATTTAACCCTGTTGCAATGAGTACAGTGGTCCCTCATTTTTCGTAATTAATCCGTTCCAGAGTGTGACTATTATCGAAATTGGCGATTTGTGAAACCATTTTCCCCATAAGAAATAATGTAAATACAATTAATCCGTTCCAGACACCCAGAAGTATTAAAACAAAATAATTTTTTTACATGAAATATAGATGTACATACACAGACAATAATGAGACATGAAGAATGAAACATTAACAGCATAACACTTACCTTTATTGGCAATTCTTCTTAGTGTATGGAAGACTAGAGGAGGGGAGAGGTTGGATTAATTACTGTTTGGAAGGAGAATCCCCTTCCATAAAGACTTCAGGTACCAAGTCCTTTTCTGGGATTACTTCCCTTCTTTGTTTTTTAATGCCACTAGGACCAGCTTGAGAGTCACTGCACACCTGTGGCACTAAATACTTGTCCAGAGAGCTCTGTTTCTGGCATCTCTTTAAAATTTCCCTAAAATGGGACAAGACTTTGTCATTGTACATGTTGCCAACATGGCTTGCAACAGCTTTGTCAGGGTGATGTTTCTCCACATATCTTTCCATCCTACTCCACATTGCACAAATCTCCTTAATTTCTGAAGAAGGCACCTTCATCCATCTCTCTCCCTCCTCCTCTGAAGCAACATGCTGAGCTGTGGTCTGTTGCTGTTCCAGCTGAAGCTCTTGCAGCTCTTCAGTGGTTAGCTCTTCGTTGTGGTCCTCCACCAACTTCCACATCCTCGCCACTCACATCCAACCCTATGGAACTCCCTAATGCCACAGTAGATTCCACAACTGGCAAAGGTCCTCACGGGTCAGCCCCAAACCCTTCAAAATCCCTCTTCTGGACACAATCTGGCCACAAATTTCTCCAAGCAGAGTTCAAAGTTCTGGAAGTCACTCCCTCCCAAGCCTTACCTATAATGTTTATGCAATGGAGGATACTGAAGTGATCTTTCTAAAACTCTCTCAAGGGTCAGTTGAGTGTCTGAGGTCACATTAAAGCACTTTTGAAACATTGGTGTAGAGTTTTTTAAAGTTTGAAATGATCTGCTGGCCCATGGGCTGGAGGAGAGGAGTGGTATTAGGGAGCAAGAACTTCACTGTGATAAAACCAAACTCCTCCACAATTAGGTCATCAAAGTTTGGAGGATGAGCAGGTGCATTGTCCATTAACAGGAGGCACTCGAGTTCCAATATATTTTCCAGGAGGTATTTCTTCACACTGGGACCAAACTCCTCATTGAACCAGTCAAGGAAAATGTCCCTCGTGACCCATGCCTTAATATTAGCTTTCCAAAACACACACAATTTACTCTTGACGACATTGTTTTTCTTGAACACTCTGGGATTTTCTAAGTGATACACTAGTAAAGGCTTAACTTTGAAATCCCCACTAGCATTACTACAAAACATAAGAGTTAGCCTGTCCTTCATAGGCTTGTGTCCTGGCAGTGCCTTTTCCTCCTGAGTATTGTAGGTCCCCCTTGCATTTTCTTCCAAAAGAGGCCTGTTTTGTCACATTTGAATACTTGTTGGGGTTTGAATTTTTCAGTCTGTATGTACTCCTTGAATTCGCTTACGAATTTTTCAGCTGCATTTTTGTCAGAACTGGCAGCCTCGCCATGCATTATCGCACTGTGTATGCCACTGCATTTCTTAAATCTTTCAAACCAGCCTTTGCTGGCCTTAATATCACAAATATCAGTGCTTGTTGCAGGCAATTTCTTTACGAGATCGTCATGCTGCCTTGCCTTTTCACAAATAATCGACTGTATAAGACTATCTCCTGCTAATTGTTTCTCAGTGGTCGACACCAACAATAACTTCTCAACATCTTCGAGTACTTGCGATCTCATTTGCCTTCGGATAAACAAACAAGTGGAGGTAAATATATGCTGAAACAAGACATCAGAAATGTCAAGAGAGAGAGAGGTATAATATATAGCACATTAAAATTGCCAGCCTTCAGCCTTATTTTTCACAATTTAATGAACTATGAAGCTAAGTTTTTTATCATTAGAAGTGTTGTGCTGTATTCTGTTGGTGATACTTTCAGAATGATGCTATGGAGTCGACAAATAAGGACCCATCACCATATGATAACCCAATTTTTCGTGAATTGTCAGAATAAATGGAGAGATAAACAAACTAAAGATGGACCAGTTAAAAGGTAAGAAACAAGGCTAAAGTTAAAAGCTTTGCATTTTTTATACCTATTTGTCTTCCTATATCTCAAACCTCTTTCCTTATGGTAATGGTACTGTACTTACAGTACCAACAAGGTTACTTTTTGCTGATGATACTGTGCTTATGGGAGATTCTAAAGGAAAGTTGCAAAGGTCATGGACGAGTTTGAGAGAGTGTGTAAAGGTAGAGAACATAGAAAAGAGTAAGGTGATGAGGGTATTAAATGATTTAGATAAAGAAAAATTGGATATCAAATTGGAGAGGAGTAGTTATGGAAGAAGGGAATGTTTTCATATATTTGGGAGTTGACGTGTCAGCGATGGATTTATGAAGGATGAGGTTAACCATAGAATTGATGAAGGAAAAACGGTGAGTGGTGCATTGAGGTATAGTATTTTCTTTTTGGGATTTTCTTTTTGGGTCACCCTGCCTCGGTGGAGACGGGCAACTTGTTAAAAAAAAAAAAAAAAACTATCTAGTAGGAGGTTGAAAAGTCTTGTGCCATGATGTTGACAGGGGTTTGTCTAATTGTACTTATGGCACTCCTGCTTTTCATTGATAGTATTGAAACCTTACTCCTATATCTCTCGTACTTTTTAATTTTCCCGTTTGATGAGAAATTGTTTAAAAAAATAATTTATATGGTACCCATATGCTAACCTTTCTTTTTTTGTTTTTTATTTCATTGTCATTTTAGCCCAAAGGGTGAGATCTTTACACCTGGATACTCATGGCAAGAAATCCGTCCTACAGAAGAGATTGAAGACATATTATAAAGTTTAAAAGTTACAGGAAGAAAACATTGAGGGCCCAGGTTTTAGGGAACCATTATCAACTATGTGATTATAGACTGAGGGACCGTGATAACCGATCCCCCAATTTTAAATAAATTATATTAATTCAGCTTTTGAAACTTTTGTGAAATGTTAATAGGGAAAGAATGGAGGGGAAGTGTATTTTAATGGCATCGTTGGGAAGGAGCAAGGTGACATTTAGAATGGGTTCACGGAGAAACCCCGGGTTTGCGGATTGATCCTGGAGA